AGGAGACTAGGATCTAAAAGAAATCCTACTCAATCATCTGCATCTCAGAGGTGGTTTCTCCACTAGCATACAAGTAGCCCCGAGCACCACTTACATAGTGTAGATGCTTAAGTAACATTTAGCTGCAAAAAGGGGCGGTTTGATTTGCTGCAGCACATAGCACTTGACGGTGGTGGAAGTCCCTGCAGAATCTGTGGAGAACTAGAGAGCAAAACTACCACATTATGAATTTACTCTTACAACTTTACCCTCTACCCTCATGGAGCAGCTGTGTCTGCATGCTATGCCTGAGTGATATTTACTGAATGGAGTTCTGTTTATAGAACTAGCTCCTGACCATAAATGGAAGGGCTGCATTGTGGAAGTTGGCTTCCCTGGATAGTTATCACTGAGTGCTGCTATTCTGGGAACCTGCACAGTATTACACATAGTAGCTAAAGAACATGAGATCATGAGAGCAAGCAAAAAGATTTTTGAGGCATTCAAATAATCAAACTTCATGATCTGTGCTGGCAATATATAGAGAGGCAGGTACTGTTTGGTAGTGTAATTTCCTGGCCATATATCTAGAGCACCTGACAAAAAGCTCACCACTACAATCATGAAAAACTGGGCTGAAATTTTCAAGTGTAGTACACAGGGGTTCATTTTCAGTGTATGGTGTTAATGGGCTATGCAGCCCATGATGGCATTCCCACATTACAGAGAGCACATGGAGATACATTCAATTGGGGCAGTGCTGCCAGAGTGTGTTTTTAGGAAGCAAGGTAATGTAGAGATGGCTGAGCAGTAAAAATGCAGGTAAATGACTGGTGCTATTGCATTGCTTCTATTGCAATAATCCATAATCCTCTGAAAACAGACGTGAAGAGGAGTTAAGAGCTGCAGATTATGTATGTCTAGAAAAATATATGTTAGCTTCTGAGACTGATATCTTTTAGCAAACCCTGTACTTGGCATGCTTATATGTCACTTACATAGCAGCATAACTGCAGTTCCTGACATAATTCAGTTTAATTAAATTTATATATATATATATATATATATATATATATATATACACACATACACATACATACATACATATATATATATACACATACACATACATACATACATATATATATATATATATATATACACACACACACACACACACACATACACACACACATATACACACACACACACACACACACACACACACACACACATATATATTTACTTGTCCTATGCTTCCTTTGCAATATGGCCATATCGACTCTGTCAGAATACAATTGCCTGGATATGTGCCTAATACAAAGTAAATCCCTGGAAGCTTAGTCAGAGAAAGAGTGAGGAAAAGTCCTGCACTTTTGCCTAACAGCCTACTAGTTGTGGAGTTTGTCCACTGAAAAGGAATCTGTATTATAGACCCCTCTCACCCACAGGGTCTTTGAACTTGCATTTTCCACTTCCTGGCACTTTAACTGCCAGGTCACAGTTTAGGCATGTTCAGGTTGTGCACACTTTTCTTCAAGCTGATCCCTTGGGCAGCCAGAAGGAAAGCCAAGAGGACAGAGAACTAAGTGGAGAGCATAAACTGCACTCCATGACCTAGACATTTCCCTGAAAGGGAGGGAACCATGGTCCCTGTTTTCAAGGGGACAGGGACAATCCCACTGCTTTCCCAACAAATACTAAATGCAAGGTGTAGAAAATCCATTGGGGCATAGAAGAAATCCTAGGGCCTTCAAATGCTGAGGGCAGTCCCCATCTCACTGAGCTTCATCCCCTGGTTCTTGGCCAGTAGGCTAGCTTCACAAGGAGGTTTAGAGTGTGCTCTAGCAATGCTCATCCTGTGACCTGTTGGTTAAAGCATTTTGTTGAGTAAGAAGGAGATGTAGGTTCCCAACCTCCTCCAGTAAGGGGAACCCAGAACCTGCATGTTCTGTTCACTGGGTAATTGCCTTAACCACTAGGCTGAAAAGTGAGTGCTCATCTCCCCTGATTTACTGTAGGCAGGTAGGTAGGACTCCTAGCTTTCTGGGAACCCAGCCCTAAATTTCACCTGTGTGTCATGTGACTATCCCCTGACCGCTCATGCCCTGGCCCCTAACAGTTCTATTGCTCCCTGTTATATACTAAAAACAACTTTTTATTTTAAATATTATCCCATTGATTTAATGTGCCCAGGAAGAAACATGGTAGTGGAAACAATTTTGCAAGCATTGATATAGCCTCAGGTTTGAGTGATCCAACTGCTACCTGTAGTATTATTGCTTCTTTAACTATGGGTTTAGACCAGTGAGGCTCAAGGAGGAGGAGGAGGCGGCGGCCTTTTAAGATCTTCAGATCCATCCTTACTTGGCTGCTGCCCTGCCACCACTGACCAACCCCTCCTGGCAAGGAGGTTATCAGTGATCACTGTAATAAGTTAGTTAGTTTTTTAAATGGGGTGCTGTTCAATTCACACAAGTAATGGAGAGGTACCTTAGGTCTAAAAAAGTTGAGAACCACAAGCTTAGGCTTTTTTGCCTCGCTGCCTTAGTAAAGGAGTAAAAGAGTTTAAGGAAAAAGTGATATCTGTATTTGATATCTATATTCTTTAGACATCTATATCTTTGTTCATATCTATTACACATTATGATTGATATAGTCAGTGTACAGATATAGGATTTCAGAATAAACTCTTATATTGTTTGTGTTTGCATAAGTGAAGGCCATACAAAACCCATCTTGAGACCAGTTTTTCACCATGTGCTGCTGGCCACGTGCAGATGTGAACACATCAGTAGGCACTATTGGCTTGTGACACTGAGCAGGTGGTATAAGCACAAATGCAGGGTTTGCTGCTCAGAAAGCTGAGGTATCATCAGCTTTTGAGCATGTAGAAAGTTCCCTATAGAAACACCTGCCATCACAGCTCATTTCCTCCTTTCTCCTGTAGTAGTTTGTCATAAGTTCTTTGTTCCCTACCTAAACCTCCGCTTCTCAAAAGTAGCCTTGTTCTAGAACAGCGGCTCTCAACCTTTTTAGAGTCGGGGCACCTTCCCCATAACTTTTAAATCTGGTGGCATCTCAATTGAGAAGCACTGTTGTACTGCCTCTGATTATCAAGTAGCTCCTTATTCAATAGGGAGTCTACCAGACTCCTAACATTTTTCTTTTCCCACAAAAGCAGAAGACAACAGCAATGCAATTATTGGCTCCTGTCTATGCTCATGGTGAAAAGAGAAAGCAAACCAAAGAAAAAAAACCCTGCAACAGGTTTGACATGTCTATTTTTCCCTTTTTTCTTTTCCTGTCACTAGCACAACAAATTCTCAATTAGTTGCACTGGAATTACTCCTGATTTTACACCACACTAACTGAGATACAAATGAAGGCTAGACAACAAGATTAAATGAAGTGGTACTCTACTTTTTCTCTTTTGAGAGACTCTGGTAGATATGAATGGGATTGTTGTGAGTAGAATAAAGGTAAAATACTGAATTAAATTAATTCCAATTGATCTGATATATAATAGCTTACGTAACACATTTTTCATCCCTTGAATTTACAGAAAGTAAGAGGGTGTGAACTCTTGAAAAAGCTATTCTAAGTGGGTTGCCTACCCTGCTTGCTTAGCTGTGCAAGTCAGCTCTGGCTTCAGGCTTTCAAAGAAGTTTTGTCTCAGGAAGGCTTCACAGCCATAATAGACAAATTGACGAAAACACAGCAAACAAAATGAGCAAACAAGTCAAAACCTGCTGTTTGTCTTCAGATAGTAAGAGAGGGACCTTCTTTGGCTCTGCTCATCCTAAACCAAGTCTGTCACCTGTCCCTTCTTCTATCCTGGAGTTTTTAAGCCTCCTGGTAGCTCCACCCTCATTAGTGGATTAGCAGTCCCAGAGGCTCCTAGCCTCCCAGCCTCTTATCCACAGACCAGCTGGAACTGGATTCCAAGTTCTTGAGGGCCAAGCAGCTCCTTATATGCATACTGTGTGTGAGTGGCAACAGAACAAGGTGCATCATAAAGAAACACTGACCTTTTTTTTGAAAACATAAGATTACAGCTATCAGTGGCATACTAAGCAGAGTTGGTGCCTGGGGCAAATTCTTCAGGAGACAAAAAGTCAACTGCACCTCTTTAGCTAGCAAAGCCTGCATTCTAGTAGGGCCCTGAATACAGCCTATTAGCTAGGCTCCACATTCCACTTCATCCCCTCCTGCCCAACAGCACTTGACCATTTTTACCTTTTCTCCCCTGCATTTTAACATTGTCCTCCACCATCCCCTGACACACTCAAAAATTTCACCCATGTCCCCCATACTGTGGGATTTCCACTCAACATGCAGTATCCTTGCCCCTTCCCCTATCTCATCTCTCTTCAAGTTCCTCACCACAATTTCTTTCCCCACCTTTGGCACTACTCCCTCTTTATTTTTGGCCTGTCTATGAATGAAGACAGGATCCCCCTGCTGGAGGACTTGTTTCTGCTTGGCATGACAGTCCAGAGGAACAGAACCACAACCCTGCTTCTCCACCTATCCTACCAGGTAATTGGTTGCCAAAAAAGACAAAAAATCTCACAAGAATTGCACTGAAATTGGTCTGCGTGGTTTGTGGAAGCCAGGAGGGAATTCCTTGCATGCCTTTCTCTAACACTGCCTCACTGAGGCAGTCGTAATCAACCCACACGCAAAGAACAAATCAAATGTGCGCAGCAGTTACAAAGGCTCCTGCTCCAAAGACATGCTGGAAATACTTTCATGTTTATGCTGGCATTAGAGACAACTACACAGAGGAGCGGAAAATTATGAAAAATGTTTACTGAAAATTGATCCTTTCTTACCGTAAACAGGGCTTCATAGTTCTCAATTAATCTCTGGACCACAAGAATGACCATAGTGGTGTCTTCAATTTCCATGACACTGGACTCTCTCTCCAGAAGTTTCTCCCTTTGCAGAAGGTTAGGACCAAAAATTGTGGCCAAATTTGAGGCAGTCATCTTATTTCCCAGAATCTGTCAGCCAAATAAAGAAGTTACAGTGTCAAATAATGACACACTGACAAACTGCTCCTGTGAGTATTCTCTTTCCCAACAACTAAGGCCATAGGTCATGCACACACACACCTTTTTGTCCAAGGATAATCTGATGATGCTTCCCCAAGAGAAATGAAATTTCCTACTCCACCACATCTTTCATCTGCCCTGTGAACATTCTGACATCTTGAACTTCGAGTCCAGTATTATGTTTTATTAAATTAACAGTTTGGCCACAGAGAATTTTTTTCTGAGCTGACTTCCAATACTTCAAAGTTCCCTTTAAGGCATGATGCATCAGATCTGCCTTTCTATCTGCCCCATATGCTGGGCCTTCAGATTCACATCAACAATCATAAAAATAACAATTAATTTCTGATAGCACTGTATACCTAAAGATTTAATACGGAAAACTTCAAATGTTGTAGAGATGCCTATGTTCACACCTCTCCAGAGTAACAAAACTCCAACTCAACCCATTACATAAAATTGTTTTTAATAGTTATCAAAAGCTAAACATAGAAAACTCTAAAATTAAAAAATGCCTACTGATGCCACTGAGCCATGGAGCCAGAAGTCAATGAGCCAAAAGGAGCGTCCTGAAAATTAGGCCCAACTGGTAAACAAAATATTCCACTTCTCACAAATTTGGAGGGATCCATCATTTGACACTGATGCACACTCTACTGAGCATGCTCAATAGCCATGTTGACACTTAGACTTCAATACTGCAGGGAATATAGGATCATAAAGTGTGCTTAAGTGTAAAAAATGGTAGTTCACAGCTGGAAAACTTCCATTTGGCCATCTAAAGCAAAATAGGATTCTGCCCTTAGGTTTTCTACAATTCCATTTATGATGTCATGTTATTAACTGATAAGGCTTGTAATCCAAAACCAGTATTTAAAATACATGGGGAATCATTTTAGAACAATGCACTCTGATTCTGCCAGAGTCAAAAGAAAGAGGTACATATCACTGGGCAGCAATTGCAATTAACTTTTCTATGTCACCATCTCTACAGACAATACATATCAGAACACAAAAATTATGGGTACATGAGCAAAAATGTCTTACCTCTTGTCCATCTGGACCTGTGACATTCTCAGCATGCTGTGCCACCTTGTTCAGAAACTGTAGTAGTCGGTAGAGGGTATCACTGTTACAGGGTGGTAGTAGGTAAACCAGTAGCTGCAGTGTCAAGAGTTGAGCCATATCTTTCACAGCTATTTAGATGGAGAACAGCAGTCCACTTAGGCCAGTAACAGGCAAGACAGTCAGCTTATTCCATTCTATTTGTTTTCTTAAGCAACCTAACAAGGATCATATCCATACTTCATGGTTTGGTTAGGGGAACCCATGGTTGCCCCATTGGCAGGGCATGACACAACTGAAGGAGAAGAGAATAAGTCTGAAGTGGAGGAAGGCAAACTAGTATGAGATTTCTGTTAGAGAGGCCCCACAACAGCATATCTGAAACAAACAGATGTTGTGGTGACCCAGGCTGAGGATTATCAGGACAGGTCTTGCAGCAGGTAAAAGGAGCAAAGGAATGCTTGCTGGAGTAGAGCGAAATGTGGAGAGCATCAGCTATCAAAGGAATGGAAGAAAGGGGAGAGAGAGAGAAGAAAGCAGAGAGCCAGGAAGAGGCAAGAGGACTAGAAGCCTCTGAACCACTGAGTGACAGTGCATGGCAGAGACTCATGGCTAAGGTTATGTAATGGTCAGGGAGGAGAAACACAGAAACAGAGATTAGAAAGGAGCGGTGCCTGGGGAAGGTCAGGTCAAGGGTATAGCTCTCATGGTGAGCAAGTTAGTTGGGCAAGGACTGCAGGATGAAGAAGAAGGTGTGGAAGTATGCAGTTTAAGGTTGGTGTACAGTAGCTGAAATCATGGGGATGAGAGGAGTGGTTGTGAGTGTCTCTAGTGGGTTATGGAATAGAGAAAATCCCACACAATTTACTGATTCATTTTGATGCACTGGCTGGGGGAGTAGTTAGCTGATTGCATGATTTCACAATGATTACACACTTAATTCATACAACACAATTTTATTTTTAAACTCTTTGCTACGTATATAACACTGCTTAGCTTTAAGAAACACCACAAACATTTAAAACACAATAATTACATATATCAGAAACAATGCTCCGAATGCACTTCCTTCCCAAACAATGCTATAAGAATTAGTGTTACAAAAACAACTACAATTACAACTAAAAGTTAAATTTGAATCAATACTATTATTTTTCATAATATACTTACAATCCTAGAATTCCGAGAAGCCAAATACCAAAATATGGTTTCATTCCTCAGTAGTACGGTTCAATGGGCTCGCCTCAGTAGTACGGTTCAATGGGCTCGCCTCAGTAGTACGGTTCAATGGGCTGGGCTCAGCAGTGATAGGACTAAGTCCCCTTCCTTCAGTCCCTTTCGGGCGCTCCGCAGCTTCAGCGTGAACTAAGAGATTCGTGTTCACGGAGAGGTTGGGTCAGGTGATCAATCTGGTCTGGGCTACACTTGCGATTCTTCCTTAGTTGTTCTGCAAGTGAAGTCACCTCCAGATTGGGACAGTAAGTTACAGGTTTTTATTGAGTGAGCTGCCGTCAGTGGGCTCCTCCTACTCAATTTGTCACTACTCCCAAATTTGGGCTCGGATCTTACTCAACAGAAATTACCTTTGTTGAGCATTTTAAATTACTCTTGGGGAGACTTCTTCCATATCACTGTAAATACCTTTTCTTACCAATTTGGTTAAAAGGCCTTAGGCTTTGATGTCTCGGAATTCAGGATATTTGCTTTCTTTGTAAAAGACTTCTAAAGATACAATTTAAATTAAGGCTTTAAGTGAAGTCAGCACATTTTTCACGTAGTCCCAAAACAATGAACTAGATAAGGAGATAAATCCTATCTTCTTCCTGAAACTGGCTAATGGGCAACCTTTACAAACATTCAAACTATTTCATTCAATATGACAGCGAGAAGAGGCATTGAGAATGAGGAGTTGAAATCAGGGAAAGGAACCCCAGCCCTTCTCACATAGTTAGCTTCAAACCAGGGAATGTGAGGAGAAGCCTCCCAGGAAAATTGCTGTGTCAATGTTGGATGGACACATTGCAATGAGTTCTAGGAGCTGGAGAAAGATCAGAAGAGGGGAAGGGGAACAGATCTTTTTGGAGATGGCTGGATGTTGCAAAGAGGATAGTCAATCAGTGACATCAATGCCCCTTTCCTCCATTGGGGGAGTGGCTGGGCTGCACCATTGGCAGGGTCTGGTTGGGATGATTCAACTACCTGAAGCATGGTTACAAAAATGATAGAGCTAAACTCTTCTCAGTAGTGGCAGATGATAGAACAAGGAGAAATGGTCTGAAGTTGCAGCAAGAGTAGTTTAAAGTTAGATACTAAGAAAACCTCTCTCATGAGGAACGTAGAAAAGTACTAGAACAGATTACCTAGAGCGGTTGTGGAATCTCCATCCCTGGAGATTTTTAAGACATGGGCAGACAAAGCCTTGGCTGGGATCATTTAGCTGGGGCTGGTCCTGCTTTGAGCAGGCAGTTGGACTAGATGACCTCCTGAGGTCCCTTCCAAATCTAATATTAGAATCATAGAATAATAGAAAACTGGGGTTGGAAGGAGCTTGACCTCAGAAGGTCATCTAGTCCAACCCCCTTCTCAAAAGAGGACCACGCCCAACTAGATCATGCCAACCAAGGCTTTGTCCAGCCAGGCCCTAAAAAACTCCAAGGATGGAGATTCTACTGCCATTCTGTGGAACCTGTTCCAGTGCTAGTGAAAAAGTTATTTCCTAAGCTAACCTAAACTTCTCTCTCTGCAACTTGAGACCATTTCTCTTTGTTCTGCTATCTGCCACCACTGAGAATAGTATAGCACCATCCTCTTTCAAACCACCCTTCTGGTAGTTGAAGGCTGCTATTAAGTCCCCTCTCCAAACTAAATAAGCCCAGTCCCCTCACTCTCTCCTAAGATGTCATGTGCCCCAGCCCCCTAGCTTGTTGCCTCCCACTGGACTCTCTCCATTATGCCTGCATCCTTTCTGTAGTGAGGGGCACAAAACTGGACATAGTATTCCAGCGGTGGCCTCCCCAGTGCCGAACAGAAGGGAAGAATAACATTCCTTGATCTGTTGGCAACACTTCTACTAATACAGCCTAGTATGCAATTAGTCTTCATCGCAACAAGGGCACACTGTTGGCTCCTATTCAGCTTATTGTTCACTATAACCTCCAGGTCTTTTTCTGCAGAGTTGCTGCTTAGCCAGTCAGTCCCCAGCCTATACTGGTGCATGGGATTTTTCCATCCTAAGTGTAGGCCTTTGTATTTGTCCTTATTGAAATGTATGAGATTTCTTTGGGTCCAATCCACCAATTTGCCTGAATCCTAGTCCTACCCTCCAGAGTATCCACTACCCTGCCCCAGCTTGGTGTCATCTGTAGACTTGCTGACAGTGCACTCCATCCCATATTCCAGGTCACTGATGAAGATATGAATAAAACTGGTCCCAGGAGCAACCCCTAGGGTACTCCACTTGATACTAGCTACCAATTAATGGGATAACAGAGACCTGGTAGGAGTCCAACTATGACTGGACCACAGGTATAGATGGCTACACCTTGTACAGGAGGGATCATGTTGTAATGAAGGGCAGGGGTGTAGAGGAGCAGTACATTTCCCTAC